CCGGCCATATTCAGCTAAATGGTGTAGGCAGAGTCTGGTTAACAGTTAAATTTAACAAGGGAGGGGTTTTGCCAGGTGAATATGGTGGGACAATGGGGGCGAGGGAGTGAATAAAAATAATCTAAGCTGGGTAGGGAGGAATTAAGGACATGAGTAGGGTGGAAGGACAGTGATAAAGGTAGTAGAGCCAGTAGGTTGTATGTCCTTGTGGTGGTTGGAATTCTTGCACTGGGGGCATTAGGCATGACTGGGAAGGCAGGAGTCAGAGTGGAACCCTGTCTCTTTAAAACAAACAAACAAACAAAAAGCAAGGTCTAGGATATGACTGCAGGACTGGTGGATGGCTGAGGTAAGGATGATGAGACCACTGGAGAAGTCAAAGAGTGAGAGACCAGGTTACTGGAAGCAGCGTCTGCATGGCTAGTGAAATCACTAAGAATTATGACCAGAGTAACGGCGAGGGCGGGTTGACCATGAGCCAGCTCTGTGATGAGGAACAGTTGGGTGGCCAGCCCAGGGTTAATAGGTACAACAGACTGATAGCATCAGCCTTCTGCAGGGGTTTTAGAGGACACCATTGGAGGTAGCATTGAGGGGCAAGGAGGACATCTTACCTGAACCTCGTGGTAGTGGTAGGAGGGGAATGATAGGGGAAGCAGGACTGCAAGGCCACTAGGAAAGAAGGTGAAGGGAATATTCAAAGCAGAGGTGGAGGACGCAGTGGGGGTGAGTCTTGCTGAATTCCAAGGGGTAAAATGAACGAGTTTCTGCAGTTGGGAGGAGAGGGAGATGGAAGTCACAGTAGGGGATGTACATGAAGATGAAAATCTGGGTGATGAAGAATGACAGGAGGGCTTGAAGGGTGAAATAGAGTATGTGATCCCCCTAGAAAACCGGAGCTCTGGGCCCACTTTCATCCTGCCAGCAAGGCATGGCCTTACCTGGAGCACAGGGAGCTCAAGCTCAACGTACAGACAGGAAGGAAGACGGTAGTGGTTCCAAGGTCTGATGAGTTCACTGCTGCTCCTCAGAGGGGCCTTCTTATGACAGTTCTTGCTGCCCCTCCTCTACTGTCACAGCATCCCGTGTAATCTTTATGGGCAGTATCTGAAAATCTGGTTTGGGGTCTCTTCTCCTTCCCCCAAGCTTTGACTGCTGTATTCTGGTCACCTTTAGTGCCTGGTGTATAGTAAGCATTCGTGTAAAATGTTCCTGTTGGCACATACTTTTTTGGCCCATACATTTAACAGATCCTTAGCAGTCTAGTATTGGGAATAATGTGAACATAACAATTCCTGTTCTCATGGATACAGAACTCCCACAGCTCCAGTTGTCTTATTTTGAAGTACTATGTTGCAAATCTCTCATACATCAAGTATAGCCAAACTGAAATACAGACTCATTGAAACCAGTCTGTATCCTAGATGCCTATTTCCCAAGTCTATCTTCCATTCATACCTGAGCTAATTTTTTTTTTTTTTACAGTTAGCAAACTACAGAGCATCTGCTTTTTTTTTGGGAGATGGAGTTTCGTGCAGTCACCCAGCCTGGAGTGCAGTGGTGCCATCTTGGGTACTGCAACCTCTGCCTCCCAGGTTCAAGCGATTCTCCTGCGTCAGCCTCCCAAGTAGAGGGGACTACAGGCGCATGCCACCATGCCCGGCTAATTTTCTTATTTTCAGTAGAGATGGGGTTTCACCCTGTTGGCCAGGGTGGTCTCGAACTCCTGATCTCAAGAGATCCATGAGCCTCGGCCTCCCAAAATGCTGGGAATACAGGCATGAGTCACTGCGCCCAGCCGAGCATCTGCATTTTTAACAAAAACGCATTAAGGAGTAAGGTGATACCCTAATATACAGTCACACTTGAGAATCAGTTTAATGAAGCAGGTCTGTTAAGTGGAACAGTTTTCCTTATGTCTCCATTTTGCCCAGGAACTGATGTTGGCAAAGTACTAGTATGATCTTTTCAATCCGTTTTCTTTCAGGTAGCAATTGTTGTATTAGGAAACAAAATCGACCTTTCTGAGCAGAGACAAGTGGACGCTGAAGTGGCACAGCAGTGGGCAAAAAGTGAGAAAGTGAGACTGTGGGAGGTGACTGTTACAGATCGGAAAACTCTGATTGAACCATTCACTTTATTAGCCAGTAAACTTTCTCAACCCCAGAGCAAATCAAGCTTTCCTTTGCCTGGGAGGAAAAACAAAGGGAACTCTAGTTCTGAGAACTAAAAATCAGTAATTTCACAATTGTGTGTTGAATAGTGACTGCCTTTAAGTGTCTGTGAACATGGAGTAATATCACTATTTAAAATAGGCCATTTGTCTCTACCTTTGGTCCTCAGGAAAATTCCCAAGGAAGTCATTTAATGCACTTTAGATGTTAAAAGTATTTGGGCTAAGGTTATTATTGCCTGTTATGAAATAATATATTCTTATTCTCATTGTTCGAAACCTGTCTTTGAAATTAGCACCTTTGTTATTTATGTTGTACTTGTGAAAACAGTAAAATAAAGTTTGGACAGTTATGCAAATGCACCTATGTGTAACTTCCCCCTATCCCCAAGCTGTTTCAGAAGATACCATAAATCATTGTTACATTATGCAAACTTCTAAGCTCAGACATGACTTTGTTTTTAAAAAGTTCATTTATCTGACGTCTAGGATTAGAGAACACTTTTTATGTCTAAATTGGACCCAAAACATTGAACAGTTTGGGGTAGTAAGCTAAATTTCATCTTGTAGAGATTTTGCTAAACAGACTAAGACCCATGATTTAGGGTCAAATTAGAATGTTTAGCATGATTTGAGGTACCAGGTAGTGTAAGTAGGTTCATCACACTCTAAGGCCGTTTTTTCTTCAGCCAGATCCCTGTTGATAGACCAGATACTTGAGGGCAAACTGTTTGCTCCTCCTCTTGAAAATGATTAGGCACTTAAGGACAGTAAAGCTGTATTTTCTGGAAGGAAGACTGTATCTTCTGGAATAGATTTCTAGAAAACTAGTCATATACAGTGAAAGTATCAAAAATACTGGGCTCTAGATGGTCTAAGTTAGATGTCTGAATTTGTGTTGTTTCTCTAAAGATTTTGGCAAGACTTGAGCAATGTGGCTGACTGTAACTTTATTAATTTAAAAGGAAGTAAGCAAGCTAGTGGTTTCATCTGTGAAATAACTATTTTGATTGAAATGTAAAATAAGCTGTTCAGCAAAGAACATATTAAAACATCAAGTAATTTGTAACATCTTAAATGGAATACTTTTTTTCATGAGCTCAAGTGAAGAACTACATATAAAAGACAATACTTATAAATCAGCTATTGCTGCTACAGTAGAATTCTTCAAAATTTCTCATCACAAATTCATTTTTTGGTCAAAAAATTACCACTCAGACACTAACTCACCCCTTACCTTTTCCCCCAGTTATTGAATATTACTCTAGCTTTTCCCTCCATACATGTTACATAGATGGACAAATGCTTTCATAATGATTTTTAAATAAGTACCTTCCAGTTTGTTTTGTTTCCTGCTAATGCAACTTAGTCTATATTAGTACAGACAGTTACCAATTGTAATGAAAGAGACACACAGAAACAGCACTGCTGGGTCATGCCATGTGTATACTTAGGTACTGCCAAAATGCCCCCTACGGCAGTGTACCAGTTTATCCCTGACAGAACCTATTTCTCATGTACTTGCTACTACAGCATCTGCAAGTCAGAAAACGCTTTTAAAAAAACGCAGTAGGGTTCGTCTTTGAAGCCTAAATGGGGTAGATTATTTAACCTTGTCTAGGATACCTCAACATCTACAGCTGTGTAAAGTACAGATCCTAATATGGGTAAATAATACCTACTAAATATGCATTATTTTTCGCTTGTTTTAGAAGCAGATACCTATCGATTTCAAAAGAATCTGCAAACAGCAACCAAAAGGCAAAATAAAAGTAAATGAACACAGCAGTATTAGGCGGTTTTTAATATTGTTTATTAGCACAGTAACAAATGCAGACTTAAGTAGTCCACAACATATAACCAATCCACTGAGCAACTCCTATTCCACGCCTTACAGTTAACAGCTTAAGGTATTTCACTACAGGTTTTCACAAGTCCTGATTTAAACCTTTTTTAAACAAAGTAGATTGGCATATAAAATAAAACACATTACTCATCTCCTATATGGTGTTTTACAGCCACGTGTCCATTTTATATATATGAGATGACAGTCTCTAAAAATTCTGTTAAATACCAATGTTCCCTTCCAAGAAGGGAAAACAAATTCCAATTTTGTTTTAAACAAAAAGTATGTAGTCTTAGAGGGACTTTACATAAATGGCCATATGTGTAACCTGTACAAAATTAAGCTGTTTTAAATTTACAGACTACAAGCAACTGAACCCAAATGTCTAAATGTACATTCTTTTCTGTACTACATTTCAGCTAATATTGCAGAACTAATGACAATTTTAAAAGTTGCTATTACCAATTCTGTCTACTGTAGCAAGATACCTTAAGTTACAACAAAATCTTAGGAAATAAGACTGAATAATATCTGTTATAGAAATACCTACTCTTTACCAACTCCCACCCTCCCTGACCCCTTCAGAATCATAAGCAGCTCTCTTCTGTGACAAATAATGTAAGAATTGTGAAAACCCAGTTTATGTAGCGTATCTCTTGGTCCACTGTCTGGCCATTCTGTCATGTTCTGCTCTGTTGGTCATATACTGAGTGGCAATACTTCCCACCAAGGGGTCGGCTGGAAGAAAAGAATGTAGATTACTTTGGAGAAAGGAAAAGAACATTTTAAACTTTAGCAAATACATTAGTGACAGCTTGGGCAGACATGTACAACCAAGTATGTGTGATCAAACCCATCTTCGAAACACCACTCCACCATGCCGGATATTTTTCCATCAAAAATTTAAAAATTGTAACGTGGGAGGAAGAGGGAATGCTCAGGCTTTAGTGTACTGGTCTGTCTGTATCTTAGTTCATTCCATTTTTCTCCCAATAAACAACACCCGATTGGAGTTTCTTTACTCTTATGTGTTAGGCTGAGTTCAATAGTGACTGGAACGGTCAAGGGTCCAGACTACAATGAACATCCAACTGTGTTCATGTGACCCTTAGCTCAATGTCACCAGTTATGGCATTGTGAATACTGTGAAGTCTTCGGGGCTGTTGCAATGCAACACTATTTACCTTTACACTGGTTAAAGAGCCAGGTTGCCAGGCAAAACCTGGACCTCCAATTAAGTATAGTATTTCTCTGAATCTTAGGATCTTTAATAACTAAATTTATATTTGGTTTACCTAGAAGATAAAATAAATAATAAATATATGTGTATATAGACACACACACACACACACACATATATGTATATATACACACACACATTTTTTTTTTTTTTTGAGACAGGGTCTTGCTTTGCCACCCAGGCTGGAGTTCTGTGCAGCGGCATGCTCATGGCTCACTGCAGCCTTGACCTTCTGGGTTCAAACAATCCTGCCACCTCAGCCACCCTAGTAGCTGGGACTACAGAAAAATATTTTTTAAATGAAATGAAGTCCCAAAAAAGTCACAATTCAATAGTCACTAAGTATTTAACAAATACCATTTTCAAAACTGAGTGCCATCTCAGTGACCAGCTATGGGCACATGCCCACTGAACCCCACAGGCAAGGTGAGGCTTGCCAGGCAGATGACTTGGCATTTAGAAGTGTATGATTTGTTTTATAAGAACTATATGGGAAATTAAGCAACAGGAAAAAAAAAAATAGAGGGAAGAATAACTGAAACTGTAAAAGCCCAAGGCAAACTTAGTCTTCAGTTTAAAATACCTTGTTGCTAGAATATACTGATTAATGAAGTTGTATGTCTCAACTAGTAGACTGAACTTCTCGATTAAAACTTTCTTTGAAAAGCAGATTAGTTTTTATATTCATAAAGTTTTGCAGAAAAATTAGTTTTGTCCTGTGAAAGCTTTTGGAAACAAGTACTTTTCAGGTGAGGAAGAATAAAACAAGGTAAAGAATTATTAACCTTACCAGGATTACAGTCTGTAAGAAGTGAGCAGATAGAAAGGAGGACTTTAGAAATGGTTAGTGCTGGACTCCAATTATCTTTCAATATGTCCAAGCAAATAACACCTTGACTGTTAATATTACAATGATAGATTCTTGTCCGAAATGTAACCTAAGGAAAACAAGGAAGTGTCAAACAATAGTTAAACAGCAAACAAACTTTTTACTAAATACTCAACTGAATGACCCTACTTAGAAAGAAAGAAAAAAAAAAAACCTCCCAGATAGGTAGTTTTTAAAAAGGTGAATAAAAGCAGTTTTAATTAAAGCTGTCAAGGAGATAGACTTGTTTAATAAATTTGATTAGAAAGTGTTCACTGACCATCTCAGGGACTGTGTCAATTTCATTTAAAATGTTACGTCCCCTGATGGTAAGTTCAGTACTTCCTAATTTTATCTTTAGCAATTTTAAATCTTTTAAATATTAACATTTCCAAGTCTGAATAGCTAATTGTTTGCTGACCTCTTGTGCTAGCTGGTAGTACTACACTGCCTCAAAGTAAGCTTTAAAATACTTAAAAGCTTTAAAATATTTAAAATCATCTCTCTTAAAAACTGAAGTGCAACATAATAGGTACCTAAAGATAATTAAACAACATACTTAGCAAACAATGACTACACCCAAAAAGCTGAACAAAATTTGAAGAGAAGTCTACTTCTGCTTTTTTCTGACCTTTACATCAGGTCCCACAGACATCCTGTCTACCTAAATCACAGAATTTACTATCTATGTAATCGAGTGTCCATGGATGCAGAGCCAGTAATGGGCAAGGACCACAGCAGAACACAAGCCACATGAGCAGGTGTTATTTGGGTCTCTTAATTTTTATTTGTGAAATATACCAAAACACAAAGTAAAAATTACCTGGAATTTTACCAGTTTTTTTAAAAAGTGACTTTCAATTACTTCTTGTTGCTGCAACTGTACTTTTATCTGGCAGTCTACCTAATCCCCAAAGACTGCATTTCATTTCTGACTGAATGAGAATCACAGATTGAGTACAAGAGATGGGTGACTTGGGTGAGTACAAGAGATGGGTGACTTGGGCAATCCCCACCTCTCCTAGAAAGAAAACTGAGGCCTGGAGGTAAGGAATTGAGCAAGACCAAAACATGACAGGGAGCAGAACAGAATCCAAAACTTTGGTAAGAGATTCTGATTCTCTAGTTGTTTGACCCCCTGACCTGTCCTGCCTCCTTTTTTTGGGGTCTCGCTTTGTTGCCCAGACTGGACTCAAACTCTTGAGCTCAAACAGTCCTCCCAAGTAGCCGGACTACAGGTGCACACCACTGCATCTGGCTTGACACCATTTTTAACTGTTTAAAACCCTTCTCTATGGGCTGGAAAACGGGGGATTAATTCTAGGTTGATGACAATATTACTATAAATAGCGTAATTTTAAGCACCATCAAAACAAAGCACTTACACCTAGAATGGTCTCTGCCAGATAAGGCAAAATCAACCTAAAGAAGTGTTTTGTATATGTTAAAATACTCAGATCTATTAGGACATAAGATAAATCTAGGTTTTGTGATTAAAAATTAAATTTAGAAAAACCTCAACAGTTGCTCTCTTGTGGGAATTAGTAAACTTGAGCATACAGGGAGATTTCTTACCTTTGGAGGCTTGAAGGGATATTCTGGTGTAAAAGTGATATCGAGAAAGAATACACCACCCTCATACACGGATCCTGGAGGCCCTAGAATGGTTGATCTCCATTCATAGATGTTATCACCTTTGGGACCAGCACTGTGAATAATACATCAACAAATAAGCAGATGGTGGCACTATCCCAATTTTTACAGTGTACTAAAAAAGATGGAAAGATTACCTCTCTCCTCTCTTGTTTACTGTGTGGATTCTCTTTACAAAGCAAGTACAGAAATGGATGCAGAACTGCCACAAACCCATAGCCATTGGTCAAGTAAGTAAAGTGGATGATAAAAGAATGTTAAAACCATTCTAAGCCTACCTAGCTACGAAGAAGCAGGAAACTTGCCTCAATTCTCAAACCTCTCCTTGACACGTAGGAAAGTGTAAACAATACTTAAATGAGAAACACATCTCAGCACCTAGAAGCTAAATTAGTGACAAATGACAGCAGTTTCTGCTCAGAGCTACATCATTTATGACCATCTTAAGCACAGAAGTTTCATTTTCTGACCCACTAACTGGTTCTTCCTTGCTCTTGTATCTCTATAATCTCACCTTAAAAAGAATCTAATAGATGGCCATACTTTTTACATTATAAACCATGTTAGGTGGGAGAGGGAGGAGAATGGTAAGTATCCAGTTACAGGTTATTCAATTTTCATTTCAATATGTATTCTATAATTGGGTTCTCTAAATTTAATACTTAAAGACATTCCTCCAACCCTGTTAGCTGTTACTATAAATCACTGTTACATGGGTACACCATAATTTGGCCACCATTCTAAAGCATTGTGTTGGCTTCTGGAGTGCCACTGCGCCCAGCAAAACTACTCTTTTAACTAAATATACGATGTGAATTGGATTTATTCACTCATTTACTGAATGCCCATGTACTAGGCAGAGGGTTAAATGTCAGGAGTTTTGATACTGAACAAGACAAACTCCTTCAAGATGCCCTCTGCTAACTGGTTACAAAGTCTGATGCCTCCATTTAAGAGAAAGAAGAGATGAAGAGGGAGGGAATAAAAAGCCTACCCATGGGCCTGTACTTGCCCCAAACCCATCACGTTTTTCTCTTGGTCTGAAATTTGGTGTGAGAGATGCAACAGGTTAGGGGAATGAGCTATTACAAAGGAAAAGCAGAGGAGAATACAAGCTGAGGAAGAAAACATGACATGGCAAAAAAGGTGGGAGAAAGTATGGGCAACCGAATAGCGGGTAATGGGAAGAACAGGGCCTAGACTGGCTAAGAGGCAGAAAGAGCTCGGACACTGTCTACCTCACAGGAATGTTTTCAGAATTAAGTGAGAGAAAGAAGGAAACTATAGAGCAACACACACCCACGAGTATTCTCTCATTAAACAGCAGTGAGATCACCATTATTAATCCTTTAATATCTCTTTGTGATGGGTATTACCAAAAACTATTAAAAACTTGCTTTACTTTTTATTTTTGAAATGGTCTTGATCCACTACCCAGGCTGGAATGCAGTGAGTGGCACGATCTCGGGTCACTGTAGCCTTGACTTCTAGGCTCCAGTGATCCTCCCACCTTAGCCACCTGAGTAGCTGGGACTACAGGCATACAGCATCACACCTGGCTAATGTTTTCTGTTTCATTTGTATAGACTGAGGTCTCACTATGTTGCCCAAGCTGGTCTTGAACTCCTAGGCTCAAGCAATCCGCCTACCTCAGCCTCCCAGAGTGCTGGGATTATAAGTGTAAGCCACCAAAAAATTTGTTTTAGATTAGATACAGAGAGAGATTTTCTTTTTTTTTTTTTTTTTAAGGGGGGGTTTTTGTTTTTTTTGCCCGGGTTGGGTTGCATTGGCCGGTTTTGGGTTCCTTGCACCTTCGGCTCCCGGGTTCAAGCGAGTCTCCTGCCTCAGCCTCCTGAGTAACTGGGATTACAGGCATGCGCCATTATGCCTGGCTAATTTTGTGTTTTGGTAGACACAGGGTTTCACCATGTTTGTCAGGCTGGTCTTGAACTCCCCATCTCAGGTGATCCACCGGCCTCGGCCTCCCAAAGTACTGGGATTACAGGCATGAGCCACCGCACCCGGCCAGAGATTTTTTAACATTGTCAATACACCATGAAGTCATACTCTGTGTTTAAAAAAGATGACTTCATACTTTTACATGATATCTGATGGCAATTTTCCCAAGGTGGAATGTAGGGAGAGCTCATAATCAGCGCTCTCCCTCTAGAAACAGGCAGTAACTTCTCCAGTGAAATGATACTACTGTTACTGCTTCATTTCCTGAGGTTAGAACCGGTTCTTGGTCATCATACGTTTGCCTACCTGCCTACATGTTTGCATCCCCTCAAAACGTTTATGTTGAAATCCTAACCCTCAATGTGATGGTATTAGGAGGTGGAGTCTTTGAAGGTATTGGGTTAGGGGGTAGAAATCCTCATGAAAAGGATTAGTGTCCTTAAAGAGAACCTCAAAAGCTCTTTTCTCTACCATATGAGGATACAGCAAGAGGACAGTTGTCTGGAAACCAAGAAATGCATCCTCACCAGACCCGAAGCTGCCAGTACCTTGATCTCATATTTCTAGCCTCCAGAACTGTGAGACATAAACTTCTGTTGTTTATAAGCCATCCAATTTATGGTACTTTGTTATAGCAAACTGAAGGAAGAAAGTCTAGAGACGCTGGCTGATACAGCTATGACACCTGGAGTGCAGTTAATGAAAAGTGGACTATGTATGGAAATAACACTAATATAGGGGTTGCAAATAAGGAGGAATGCTTTTTTATCTAGTTTATGGTAAACACTTAAAGGCAAAAGGCTACTCTAAAATCTTTTTACAGATGAGGAACCAAGGCCAAGAGTTCACTCAGAGAAGCCAGGCTCTCTAAAATCCAGTACTGACAATATTCCAAGCTGCCTCCTAAAAAGACACTAGAGCTCAGGAGTCACACCGTTCACGTTCAAGTTGGTAGTGCTAAGAAACCAACCTAGAAAAAACGAACGTGAGGGCAGTCTAACCCTAGAGGTGACATGCTGGCATAGGCCCAATGCTGCTGGTCCTTCAGTGCACAAAAAAGATAAAGGTTTACCAGTATGTCACTACATGCAGACATATGGGTTGTACAGAAACTTGGTGGTTCCCAAATTTCACTGTGCATCAAAATAACCGATGGAACTTTCAAGGTTTCTAGACCCCACCCCAGGCCCAGTGAGTCTAGAATATCTAGAGCGGGACCGAAGAATCTATATATTTCAGTGCCCCACCCACAACCACGGCCTCGAAGCAGGGAGTCTGCATTTGGGAGCCGCTGCTACAGGTTACCAGTGGACAACCAGTCAGGAGCATAAGCTGTAACATTTCACAGTCTGTCACCTGTGACGGCTTATCACCTGTGATATGACCAGAAATCCAATTAAGATTGTTACCTCTCTCTAAATCTGCTTGCAGTTTAGGTGTTAATTTTTTTTTGAAAGTTCAGAAAAAAGTAAAGAAAACAGAAAAGTTAAGGAATCAAGTACACAACAATTACATAACGACACAAAACGTATTACACTTGTGTTAAACTTCAAAACTGGAGAATAAAGGTGCAATATGAAAAATAATTAAATGCTAAGTGAAATAATATCAAATGTAGTTGACCCTGAAGAAAACTCAATAGTGAGGGATCCCTAACCTGTGGGCCCTCAGGAATTACTGTGAATGGTCTGAGAATCCACTGGAAAAGACCAAGCATTGTTACTGAATATCAAACTTTTTTTTTTTTGAGATGGAGTCTTGCTGTGTCACCCAGGTTGGAGTATAGTGGTGTGATCTTGGCTCACTGCAACCTCCGCCTCGTGGGTTCAAGCGATTCTCCTGCCTCAGTCTCCCAAGTGGCTGGGACTACAGGCGTGTGCCACCATGCCCAGTTAATTTCTGTAATTTTAGTAGAGCTGGAGTTTCACCATATTGGCTAGACTGGTCTCAAACTCCTGACCTTGTGATCCCACCCGCCTCAGCCTCCCACAAGTGCTGGGATTACAGGTGTGAGCCACCATGCTCGGCCCTGAATATCAAGCTTTAGATAGTCACTTAAAGCTGCTATTGGATGAATTCAGGTAGCTTTTTGTCATGTGTACTTTCTTTATCAGAGAATAAAACAGAAAAATTCTGATATGAGGGCCTACAATTTTATTTTTTTACTAAGTTCTCATTGGGAAAGTTAGGATCTGCTGGCCTACAAAGTGGGCAGGCAGTCCCATCCCCAGGGGTGGAGGACAATGTTAACAACTCTCAGAAGGCCAGTGTCAGGAGAAAAGGGAATAGGAGAAGCTTTACTTGAGGCTGTTCAAGCATCCCACCAATTTCTTGATAAAATGACTGAGCAGGTTTGCCCTCAGGTCACCTAAGTACACCCTTTACTAATCTCCTGTCTCCTCCAGAAGATGCTTTTGGTTCCACAACAAGAAATACAAGTTTAATTTTAAACACTGGTTCAAGTGTACCTTAGAATGATATGTAATTTAAATTATTAATCCAAATGATTAGAGAGTAGGGAAAATCCTGAATTGGGAAAAGAGGGGTTGAAATTAAGGTATTAAAGAAAGATAGGAGCGGAAAAGTACATTTCCTAATTTTGCATGAAGTCTACCTGTCTGTCTTCACCTGGGCACTTATTTTAATTGAGATTCTCGAAACTGGGTCATCTCAGTTTTGTGTAATAAGATTTTTTAAAACCAGCCAACCAAACTATCACTGGGGTTATAGAAATAACTATAAGACTTTGCCTCCTTTAAAAACCCGCTTATCCCTGTTTGAAGACATTGAAATTTGACTGTGATCAGAACCTTTGCATGAGAGGATGTAACTGAGAAAGTGAAGAGACTATGCCTATACTTTTCACATGTTCCTACACAGAGGTTTAAGGTTTATTTGTAACTAAAAACACTTTTCAAAATGTAAGTAGAATACATACAAGGCAAAAAGAAAAAATATAAAATAGTTTTTTCTTCTATCAAAATAAATATTACTCTGATACAGATTTTAAGAAAAATGAGTCATTTCTACTTTAACACCATATTTTCTTCTTTCTATAAAGGCCTCTGACTTCATACAGGTATGCAAACATTAGGA